TAAATACACAGAAATGTGTAAGAGTATACCCAGTAAATTAGTAACAGGAATAAAGCACCTTTTCCATTATGCATTTCCATGCTTTTGAATTCCTTATGAGAAATACAAATTACTTTTCTAATTAGTATTAAAATTTAATATTAAAATTAAGAAAATGTTTCTAACACAGAAGCATTTATAAAATAACCAAAATTATGTGAAAATAAATTAAACCATATTTTAGTTATATTAAGGGTGATACGTGGAAAGAAGATTCTCTTATAAGAAATCTATTCTAAATTTTATTTGATAAAGAATTTTTCATACATTGAAGTTGAAAGACAAAATACAACTATGTTGACCAAACAACTCAGTTAAGTGCTCCAGAATGGCAACCTCTTCCTCTGTAGCATTATTCTCTAGGCTTACTGACACTCTTGGGGGTCAGCCATTGTGCAAGTGGCTTCCTGCCCTATCATCATTAATGCTAGTGATATCTAAGGTCAGATTCCCACCAGTGCCAGTGATGGGGATAATAACAGTACTGAAACACGAGTAACTTTTGATACCAGTAAACTCTGAGCTTAGGCACAGCCTTTTCCTCACAGCTGCTCTGTAATCTACCTCACACCTACCTGTTGGATGTCCTTTCTGAAGAACTTACATATTGTACACTTAGGATGCCGCTTCTGTCTGGGGAAGAAGGAACAACAGGGGGATGAGGAGGGGTCTGATGCCGTATGGAAGGATCCATCAACATTCAGGAAGAACACAGAGTATACATCTTTGGTTCTTGACATGTAGCTCTTAAAATCCTTCTACTTTAGGATCTGTTCTAAATTTGATCTTTGACCTTCAGTTCCTGACACAGAGCTCCTAAATGTCTTTGAATTTCTTGGTTCTAATCAGATGACTCCCGGTGGGCTCCTGGACAGCCTCAGGATGGGAATTGGATGAGACTACAGGGCTAGCTTCCAGCCTACCATCCCTCCTCCCACCACTGGAGAGAGGACTGGGCTCATCGTTGAGTAGCATGGCTACTGAGCAGGCCTCCATCAAAACCAAAAGGACAGGGTCTGTAGGGCTTCCAGATGGTTGAACACATGTAGCTGCCTGGAGAAATGCATATCTGAAACATGTACAGTGGTTAAAGAAGCTCTCTGTCCCCTCTCTATACCTTGCCCTATGTATCTCTTTATATGGTGGGTTATTGGTGTATTACTAAGGACATGAGTGTTTTCCTGGGTTCTACAAGCCATCCTAGTGTTGTGGGAATCAATTTATAACTGATTGGTCAGAAGCACAGGTGACATCATACTACATGCAACTGATATCTGAAGTGGGGGGTGGCGTACTAGAATTCTTATAGGACTAAGTCCTTAATCTATGGGACCTGATATTAACTTCAGGTGGAGAATATCAGAATAAAACAGAGTTATATGACATCAGTGTGTCTGCTGGAAAACTGCCTGGCATGTGAGGACACACAACAAGAGATAACAGACGACGTAGCCAACCCAGGAAAATCAGTACTTTGATTCAGACCTTCTCTAATTTTAGTAGCAGAGGCAAAGTGCTATGGTGGATGCTTAGGAAAATGCCTGATCTTTCTTATCACTTATACCAGGCAAAGAAAAAAGAAAATTATTATTATTTTTTCCAGTATAGAGGATGGAACTCATGACCTTGAGCTTGTGAGGCAGGCATGGAGCCACTAAACTAAATCCCTGGCCCCCAAAAAAGAAAATGCTAAGCCACGTGGGATCTGATGTAGTGTAATAGAGGAAGAGGAAGGGCAGTGAGGAAGCTGATGGTGTGTTCTGGCCACACTGAGCAGGGCCAGTTCTATTCTATAAGCTGAGGCCATCCAGGCTTCCCATGGAGAGATATGTGAGCTTAGAGCT